CCAAGGTTTTGTGGCTTATTTTTACTTTCTATTATTAGTAGTCACACAGGACCAGCTTTTGCAATACAAGTGAGTCAGATTTTCACAAGTTTTTCTTATTTGTCCTGTCCTGAATCCGGGACAGGCATAAAACCTGTTCTGGCTGATGGACACCTTTCTAGCCTGTCCTTTCCATTTTTGTCCATCCTGAGGAGTCCTTAATAGGACTCCTGTGGGACCAGTAAACCGGGGGCCTGTGTTTTTTATCTTTCCTGCTATTTTATTTTTTTTAGGTTGAAATAGAGGTCTGGAAACCAAGTCTTTATAGGAGCATTCTCGGAGGTCTTATTTAAGACCTCTTGATTATTAAAATTAATTATCTGTCAGGTCAGGCTAAATGGCCGGTGGGGGTTAGCGTCAAAAACTACACTAGAGACGGCGCAGGGAAGAAGGGCAAACAATAAGCAAAGAGTTAGATACGAGAGAGTCTTATCTTGAGCGGGTCCGCGGAGCGTCGGAGTTTCTATGTCTTAAGTGGTGTTGGTCCGGACGTCTCTGGAGCAGCCTTGGCGTGGGATGCGTGGATCCAAGTGGAGATTCCGTCAACCTTTATGGCTGTGGGCGTGGTCAGGAGAACAATGTAGGGTCCTTTCCACCGAGGCTCTAGTCCTTGAGTGCGGTGCCGTCTAACGTAGACAGAGTCTCCTACCTGGAAGGGGTGACTGGTCTGTGGATGTCCTGGTTGGTACAGTTCTGCCAAGGGGGCCCAGATTTGGGCCTGTACTGCTTGGAGTCCTTTTAGCCGAGCCTGTAGGTCAGTTTTAGGATCGGAGGGGGAGAAGGAGTTAAGCAAGGTTGACAAAGGGGGAGGTCCTCCGTAGAGGATTTCATATGGAGTGAGCTTAAAACGGTTAGGCTTATTTCGGGCCCTTAACAGAGCTAAGGATAGGAGGTGTCTCCAATCTTTTAAACCAGTCTCTAAGGTCAATTTAGTAAGGGTCTCTTTTATTGTTTTATTCATTCTTTTTACCTGTCCTGAGCTCTGGGGTCTATAGGCACAAAGTAATTTCCAATTAATCCCCAATATCCTGGCGAGCCCTTGACTTACCTGAGAAACGGAGGCCGGCCCGTTATCTGACCTAATTACCTTGGGAAGTCTGAATCTAGGAAAGATTTCTTCCAGAATTTTCTTGGCTACTATGTGTGCCGTTTCTTGCCGGGTGGGGTAGGCTTCTACCCATCCTGAAAAGATATCTATAAACACTAGTAAGTACTTATATCCAGCATAGTGAGGTTTTACTTCAGTGAAGTCTATTTCCCAATAGACTCCTGGGCGATTACCACGAGTTCGTTTCCTTTCTGGCACTCGGGTAGCCCCAGCGTTTACCTGCTGACAGACCTTACAGGCAGATGTCACTTGTTCTACGAGGGTACTTGCCTTTGGGATTAGAAAGTCAGTTTTTTCAATCAGTAATTTTAGCTTTTCGACTACTCAAGTGTGTCCAGGCATGCATCTGCTGGATCATTGCCAGGGCCTCCTTTTGGGGAAGGACTATTTTTCCTCCTTTTTCTCAGTTTTTAGTGTCTTTGTTCTCTATAGCCCCTATGGCTTTTGCTTCTTCCTGGTCTCCTGGGGTTTAAGTATGTTTAATAGTTATGTGGCTGGTTTCGTCAGGTTCTGTGGCTAGGGTTAGTACTTCCGCCATGGCGGCTTGCCTGGCTACTTGGTCGGTCTGTCTGTTTCTTACTGCGACTGGATCTTGTCCTTTTTGATGCCCGGGGCAGTGAATTATAGCCACTTCTTGAGGAAGAAAAAGGGCTTTTAATAAGGCAATTATTTCAACTTTGTTCTTGATTTCCTTTCCTTCTGAGGTTAGGAGACCTCTTCTTTCATAGATACTTCTATGAGTATGAGCCGTTGCAAAGCCATACCGGCTATCAGTATAAATGTTAGCTTTCTTTCCCTTGGACAGCTCTAGGGCCTTGGTTAGTGCTATTAACTCAGCCTTCTGTGCAGACGTGCCAGGAGGTAGTGATTGTGCTTAAATGGTGTTGTGGCCATCTACTACCGCCGCTCCCGCCCTCCGGGTACCTGAGTCAAGGTAACTGCTGCCGTCTGTGTACCAGGTGTGATCCGCGTCTGGGAGTTCTTGGTCTTTAAGGTCTTCCCGTGTTCCATGGGTCTCAGCCAGTACTTGCCGATAATCGTGTGGGCTTGGTTGGTCTTCTGGTACCGGCAGCAGCGTAGCAGGGTTTAGGGTGACCGGAGGGCCAAACTGGACGCGGTCCGTGTCCAGTAGGAGGGCCTGGTAGTGGGTTAGGCGTGCGTTGGTTATCCACCGGTCCGGGGGCTGCCGCACTATGGCCTCTAGAGCATGTGGGGTAATAATAGTTAGTGGCTGCCCAAGGGTTAACTTAGCAGAGTCCTTGACCAGCATAGCGGTGGCTGCCATGATGCGAAGACACGGGGGCCAGCCGGCCGCCTCCGCTTCTCTCCCTCTCTCCCTGGTCCTTTTTCTCTCACAACTGCCGCCAGGATTTTTGTTAAATGCTTATCCCTCACTCGGTCCTTACGATCCTCTTGCTCCATCTGTTCCTTCACTAACCTGGCTTCCCTTTCCTCAGGGGTTTCTCTCTTATTATACACTTTTTCTGCCTCCTTAACCAATTCCTGTAATCCATAGGTTTGGATTCCATCTAGTCTTTGGAGTTTTCCTTTGATATCTAATGCAGCTTGGTCTATGAATGCCATAGCTACGGCAGCCTTATGTTCTAGGGCCTCTGGGTCTAATGGGGTATACATTTGGAACCCTTCCAGAAGCCTTTCCATGAAGGCTGCTGGGCTTTCATCCCTTTCCTGAGTTATGGTCCTTACCTTGGCCAAATTTGTGGGGCGCTTTCCTGCCCCTTTGAGACCCGCCAACAGAGCCTGGCGATAGATTCAGAGACTCTCCTTACCTGGTGCTGTTTCATAGTCCCAGTCTGGGCGGGTGAGGGGAAATCCCTCGTCTATTTTATTGGGAAGTTGGGTTGGGAGGCCTCCTGGTCCTGGCATATTTTTCCTGGCCTCCAGGAGGACTTGCTGCCTTTCTTCAGTGGTTAGGAGGACCTGCAAGAGTTGCTGGCAATCATCCTAAGTGGGCTGGTGAGTGAGGAGAATGGATTTTATTAACGAGGTTAGGGCCTGGGGGTCTTGGGAAAAGGAAGGGTTATGGGTTTTCTAGTTGTAGAGGTCAGAGGCAGAGAAGGGCCAGTACTGGACCGTGCGATTGACGGTACGGAGGGGAAAAAGGGAGGATTGCCAAGTGGAAGGGCCATCTGGGTCCTCAGTTCGCCGCAAGCGGAGACAAGGAGGTGTCGGTGGCGGCGTCCGAGGGGTGAGTTTGGGCGGGGCTGGCGAAGGAGACGGGGTGGAGGGAGGGGCCGAGGGAGAAGTTGGAGAAAGGGTAGGGGCCGAGGCGGTAGAGGAAAGAGCTGGGGACAAGACAGGGGGCAAGGGTGAAGCGTAAGGTGGAGGTCTCAGAAGGGGGTTTTGAGGTGGAGGAGGCAGGGGGTCAAGAAGGAGGAGATCCCTCTGGGGTTCATCTGGGAGGACTGGCTTATGTGGGTCTGGTTTCCGATTTTTTTTTTGGGGGGGCTTCTAAGGCAAGAAGGGTAGACTGGGGTGGGGAAGGGGAATGGAGGAAGGGTTTCACCCAAGAGGGAGGGTTTCGGACCAGATCCTCCTAAGTAATTATGTAGGCCACCTGGTCTGGGTGTCCGTGTGGCCCAGGATCTATCACTGTTGCTTTAACCTGTAAGATAATTGGGAGGTCAAATGTTCCGTCCTGGGGCCACCCAACATGGAGGGTAGGCCACTCGGACGAGCAGAATTTTCACCATCGTCCCTTACGGACTTCTATGGAGAGGTTGTGGGCTCGAGCCCGAACGTCAGGGAAGTGAGTCAGGGTCAGAGACAAAGGAGTCGTCAACGTCTGTCTTATTTCGTCCACGTATAACAAGGACAAAACGAAAGTAACAAAAACAAAGACCAGACAAGTAAGGAGAAGCCGCGCGGCCAGAGAGTGGCGCCACAAGATCATAAAATACTCAGACGGCAGGGGCGACCTGCCTACAGATTTAAGGAGGCTGACTGAGTCGTCAGCCTTCTCCCAGACTACCGCCAGGGCGTCCCCCAGGGCATAAGTGGGAAGGTGCCGGACACGTCTGTCCCCCTTCCCCACTTAATTCAGAAGGAGTACTCCCCAGAGTTCAGAGTTAGCCGGCAAGACAGACAGAAGAAAACAAAAGTACCTGGTAGGTCCGTTCAGTCAGCAGTCCGTGGCCCGGGCCAGATGGGTCTCCGCCGGATGGGTCGGGGGTCCTCGGACGACCCCACTTCCCGGCCAACACACCAAATGTTGGAACCGAACTGTCGATTCCCTCCTGGGCAGGGGTCGCTGCGAAGGATCACCGACACGAGATTCACAGCAGAGAGTTATTTATTACTAGCGCGCTAGGGTCCCAAGCTCTAAGTTGGCCCTGGGACCCCGACTGCTTGTTACAGGCTGTTTATATAGGCAAACACAAGTTCAAACACAGCTTAGGGCGTGAAATTCAAACAAAGCTTTAGGCGCGTGGTAATTGGGTCTGTCTATGGCCTGAGCAAGGTGTCTTGTTCTAATTGGTTAGAGCAGGACCTTATGAGGTTTTTTTCCTGGAGTTGTTGATTCCGGGAACTTCGAGGCAGGGTGGGACCCCCGGAATTGGCAGGGTGGGACCCCATGAGGTTGTTTCCCGGAATTGGCAGGGTGGGACCCTATCAGGGTGGGACCCTATCAAGGCAGGGTGGGACCCTATCCAGAGCCACCTGGCGTTAATTTTTTTAAGTTCTTTTTTTATGAGGCCTAGTTTCTAAGTTTTATGCGGCCTAGTTTCACTTGATGGTGGGCAACTGTAATCCCAGCTACTCGAGAGGCTGAGGCCAGAGAATTGCTTGAACCTGGGAGGTGGAGATTGCGGTGACCCAAGATTGCACCACTGCACTCTAGCCTGGGTGACAGAGTGAGACTCTGTTTCAAAAAAAGAAAAGAAAAAAAACCCCAAACCAATTAACTCAGCAGATTTTGTTCACATGAATGGCCAGAGTACAACCCCTTAAATGCTTGAATTAAGAAAAAGGCTTCAGATTTTAAGTTCTGAGGGTTTTTTCTGCTTGATCTAGTCTATCATTGAAGCTTTTGAGTGTACTTTGTATTTTCATCCTATGATTTCTTCAGTTCCACATTTGCTGTGTGTTCTAGAAAACTCCGTATCTGGTTGGTAATTACGTCAACCATATCCAGAATTGCTTCTGTCATTTTGCTCCTTTCTTTTTCAGAAGTGTCTTGTATTCCCTAATATTGGTTAAAATCAGTATGCACAATTCTCTATCTGACATTTCTTGAATTTCTTTTGGATAGGGATCTGTTGCTGGAGAATTACTGGGTTCCTTTGGAGGCATCCCGTTTCCTTGCTTTTTTATGTTTCCGGTGTCCTTCTGTTGAGATCTGCACATCTTGTGTAAATTGCTTCTTCCAAGTTTGTGAATTCGCTTTGTAAGGGAGGACTTTTTCCTTTTCCCCTCATGTGGGAGCTGCAGGCTCCAATAGCTTGCAACCTTAGCTATGAGATAGCAATATAAGCTTGCCGGTTTTACTTTGCCCCAACAGATAATCCAATAAAGGCTGTGAACCAAAATTCTGGGTAAAGCAGTCTCCATGGCAGTTTGATTTTTAAAGTCTAAACCTCCCCAGACTCCAACAAGGATCGCTGGGGCCAAACTATCAAAGGAAGGCATCACACGTTAACCAGGCCCCCTACTTAGAACAGCAGCACAAAAGCCTAGTTACATGCAACGCCATCCTGCTTTTCCATTAGACAGTAAACTTCAGATTCTAAACAATTTTGGGGCCAAGGAACATTACAACTCTGAGAGAAAATTCCAAGGAGGGCTTAATACTAGACCTTAGAACCTCTGCAGAAGGCATCCTCTTTGGAGAGTTTGAGGTCTGGAGGATCTTCCAGAGCGTCCTCTTGTGGGATCCAAACTTAGACTTCCAGACGTCTCTGGCGTTACTTAGGTGAGCACTGGTGCCACTTTACATGCATTCCCTCTAGAGCCTTCTATGAACTTTATAAGAATAGCCATGAACTGTAATAAGAACTGAATGCCAGGTGGGCCTTTTTGTTCCTTAGCCAGTAGAGTACAATAAGGAAATAATTTAGCATAACTCAGTTCTAAAAAGTGCCAATATTTTAAAACCTATTATTATTTCCAAGAATAATTAATTATTATATTTGAAAAGTACTCAATTTGTAAGTGAAGATAACTTGTTTTAATAGTCATACTACAGGATAATTTGAACATTAGTTTATAAGTTCATATTATATGTGAATCGTCAACAGATGATAACACATGGCCCAGACATTTTAAATTACTTCATCTCACTATGTTTGACCTACCATATATTTTTCGAATTATAATTTCTTAAAGTTCTTCTAGAGTAAAATATAAGAAAACTCAAGCCTTCAAAAGTATATATTGATATGGATTCATGCAGATATTATAAGGTGTTCTAAAGATTTTGTACAAAATTACAAACAGTATACATTGAATTATTTTGAAAGCAAAATGTGTGTGGGACTGTGTATCTGTATCATATCCGTCTCGATGTATACACAGTTTTTAAATGACATATATATATTTTAGACAGGCTCTCACCCTATCACCCAGACTGGAATACAGTGGCATGATCGTGGCTCACTGCACCATCGACCTCCCTGGGCTGAAGTAATCGTCTCAACTCAGACTTCCAAGTAACTTGAACTACAGGTACACACCACTGTGTCTGGCTATTTTTTGTAGAGCCAGGGTCTCACTACATTGCCTGGGCTGGTCTCAAACTCTTGGGCTCAAATGATCCACCTGCCTCAGCCTCCCAAAGTGCTGGGATTACAGTTGTGAGCCACCACGCCTACCCAATGCCATATATTTTACTTTTTATTATTTTTTTTGAGACAGTCTCGCTGTCGCCCGGGCTGGAGTGCAGTGTTGCTATCTCGGCTTACTGCAACCTCCGCCTCCCAGTATCAAGCGATTCTCCTGCCTCAGCCTCCCAAGTAGCTGGGACTACAGGCACCTGCCACCACGCCCAGCTAATTTTTGAATTTTTAGTAGAGACAGGGTTTCACCATGTTGGCCAGGCTGGTCTTGAACTCCTGACCTCGTGTGATCTGCCCACCTCGGCCTCCCAAAGTGCTGGGATTACAGTTGTGAGCCATCATACCCGGCCTAATGCCATATATTTTAAATCATAGTCAGTGTTATAGTGAGTCCATGTTTGAATATGATAGTATTGGCCAACAAATTTATATTATTAATTCATATTTATATTAAGACAGACATTAATGAAACGTAGCTGCATGTGAGTAGTGTGAATACTTCCATCTTAAAGTTTTCTTAGGTTACACATCTAGGTGACGGAATGTGAGAGATGCCTATCTCAACTATCATTTATTGAATTTTGTTATATTTCTTTTGAGATTTTAAAGATAAAATTTAAGGTAAGAATTAGGGATAAAAATTTGAGAAGAATTAAAAACTAATTCTGAAGTATAAGTATGTATAATATATATTTATGTTATATATAATATGTATTTATATATGTTTTCATGTATGTATAGGTGGATTTTTAGGTTTTCATTTTGTTGCAGAGGCTGGAGTGCAGTGGCACAGTCCTGGCTCACCGCAACCTCTGCCTTCTGGGTTCAAGGAATTCTTGTGCCTCAGCCTTCCGCGTAGCTGGGATTACAGGCGCCTGCACCACTCCCAGCTGTTTTTTTTTTTTTTTTGTATTTTAGTAGAGACAGCATCTCACCATGTTGCCCAGGCTGGTCTTGAACTCCTGAGCTCAGGCAATCCGCCCATCTCGGTCTCTCAAAGTGCTAGGATTACAGGCGTGAGTTACTGCAACTGGCTGAGAGCTTATTTCTTAACAACTCATCCAATCAAGTAATACTTTGCAAATATTTTATCGTTTAAAATCCAGATATTGCAAATTTTTTATAACAATGTCAAAAACTGTTCAAGAATCACATGTGAAAATTTTCACTCTAAAACATGATGTATAGCTAAATCCAATTTAAATGTAAATTTACTGTGGTGTTCGCATATATATGTAGAACTTTTATCTATGTATTGAAAGTGGGACAAAATATGGAAAAAGTTATCAGTGTTTAATACACAGTTTTATGACATTGCTTTTCTTTTGATCAGCACATAGTTTCTTTTTACTTCTTTGCAAATTCCACATCTTTTCTACTAATGAGAAAATATAGGATTGAATCCTAATGGAAAAACGGTAAGACACATACACAGCAAAGTCATAGGATATGGTCGTAAGCCATTGCCATTTCATGACACTGGAAAATATTTCTGTACCAATTATTAAATAATGAAACCATGAGGCAAAATCCTGTGATCCATCTGATTAGCATTTATAGTCATTCCTGTATTTGTGTACATTCAAGAAGGGTTGTGTGTGTCAGTCAAGCTTAAGAGCTGTCTGGACCCTTATCTTAGAGCTCTACTAAGTAGCAATAGCAGCCTTCCCCTCAACATGTAAGACCTAATGCCTAGGTCAGAACATAGAGTAGAACTCCCAGGGAACCTGGGTAGAGTCAGGACAAGAACCACATGGCCTGGTGCTTAGATTTGCTCTTCTCCAAGACCTTAGAGGTAAACATTTGTTGCTGCTTTTTTTGTTTGTTTGTTTGTTTCCGTAGGCATGGATCCCTGAAGTCTGTCCCTGTTACTACAAGACATTTTGATATCATAATAAAACACTTCAGATATGATGCTGAGTGAAAAAGCAGAAAGGGGAAGACTTGGTTGTGCGGGTACTGAGTTCTTTTCCTTTTCTTTTCTTTCTTTCTTTTTTTTTTGAGACCGATTCTCGTTCTGTCACCCAGGCTGGAGTGCAATGGAGCGATCTCGGCTGGCCATTACTGAGTTCTTGAAAAGAGGAGATGTTTGATTAGGGTGAGTGGATTAGATCTCAGTTTAATATCCAATGGGGCCAGACGTGGTCGGATTACGAGGTGGGTGGCTCATCTGAGGTTAGGAGTTCCTGACCATCCTTGTCAACAAGGTGACACCCGTCTCTGCTAAAAATACAAAAACTAGCTGGGCATGGTGGTGCGTCCCTGTAATCCCATCTACTTGGGAGGCTGAGGCAGGAGAATTACTTGAACCCGGGAGGCAGAGGTTTCTGTGAGCCAAGACTGCGCCACTGCACTTCAGCCTGGGCAACAAGAGAGAAACACCGTCTTAAAAAAAAAAAAAAAAAATCCAATGGAAGCCAAAAGCAAAATGCTGACTGGAATACGTTTATGCAAATCAAGCAAAATGTTAAATAGTTTTAATTTCTGGTATCTTTGTCCCTTCATGGCATTTTTTTCAAACGTGATGGGCAGGAGAGGAGCGCCTAGAGTTACTTGGCTTTTTTCGGGCAATACTGCCATCGTGCGGAAATAGTTTCATAGCATCTGAAACTGTGAGCATTTCCTCCACGTAAACCCCGGCAGTCGCGGAAGGAATAGCCAGTGGAGGCTGAACAGGCCCAAGGCACAAGCTGGCATTCCTACCCTTGTCTCTGAGGTCTGGCAGAAGCAATGGACAAACGCAAAGTCTTAGTGAAGTATCTGGTGAGTGAGGGACCAGGACTGAGCCAGCTGCATCGAGGAAATAAGAATGTAATGGAAAGCCTAAGCAATTATCTAAGCCCACAAGCCAGGATTATCTGTGACTTTATACGTTCATGGAAAAGTCTTTTCTCATAATAGGACACTGATGGTTATCTCAGTTCTCTCAAGGAGGGCAGATAGGTGGCTTTTTTCCGTTGGACATTCTCTGAGAAGGATGGCATTGTTTAGTCCTGAGCAAACCAGTATTTATCTCATCCTAGTGAGTGTTCTGTATACCAGCTTCAAAGCTAGTTCTTCATAAAGATATCCACTCCTAGGTGTGGAGACTTCCAGATACTCCATGACTCATAATTGAAAAATCAACAAGGGCGGCTAAAATTGTATGGGTGACTTGTTCCCCATGACATTCTTTTTCACTGTTTATTATCTCAGTATCTGAATCTTTTAAAAAAGGATGTAATGTTAGTCTGGTACTGTAGTGTGACCTTCCAGTCAAGAGCTTCTTCAGGTAGGACTTCTCCTGGCCTCTGAGGATTCAGGCAGGCATTCCAGGATAAGGAACCTGGCTTTTGTGACATCCTTGACTATACCTAGCTCTTCCTCCAGCTGGTTATAGTTGAGTTGAGTGATGGTCTGTAGACATAGATGCTATTGGCATTCAGGAGTGTCTTAAAGATTTGGCCAGGCCCGGTGGCTCATGCCTATCATCCTAGCAGTTTGGGAGGCTGAGGCAGGTGGATTGCTTGGGCTCAGGAGTTCGAGACCAGCCTGGGTAACATGGTGAAGCTCTGTCTCTACAAAAGCAAGGCCAGGCGGGGTGGCTCATGTCTGTAATCACAGCACTTTGGGAGGCCCCAGCGGGCGGATCACCTGAGGTCAGGAGTTCTTGTTCAACCTGGCCAACATGGTGAAACCTCGTCTCTACTAAAAATAAAAAAATTAGCTCGACTTGAGTGCGGTGCCTGTAATCCCAGCTGCTTTGGAGGTTGAGGCAGGCGAATCGCTTGAATCCGAGAGGCCGAGGTTGCAGTGAGCTGAGATCGCGCCACTGCACTCCAGCCTGGGCGACAGAGGGAGACTCCGTCTCAGGAAAAAAAAAAAAAAAAAAAAAAAGAAAGAAAGAGAGAGAGAGAGAAAGAAAGAAAGAGAGAGAGAGAGAGAGAGAGAAAACAAACAAAAGCGAAAGTGCATCAGTTAGACCAGGTGGCCCAAACAGGGCAAAATGCAAGGCAGCCATGTTTGGTGGCTCCTTTGTCTATGGGTGGCGTTTTTTCACACAAGAAGGGCGGGAGTAGAGGAAGCCAAGGTAAGTCTTTTTGACATATCTGGAGCTCTGCTGCCATCGTGAGGATGTTGTTTAACGATACCCTAAGCCATTACAGACTTCTAGTGAGGACTACTTGTTGGGGCAGGTGTGGTCTGGTAAGAGATGGAAGAGGCTTTGCCTTCATGCTGGGAATCCTTGCTTAGTCTCATCTGAGGCTTTAAAAGAGACCTGAGCATTGGCGGTACCTTGGTATAGAACCTGGAGAGTGAAGGTTCAAATAGCAAATCCTGTAAACTTCCTCTGGAAGAACGCTGTTCATTGTGCGAGGATACTGATGCCGCAAGAGACCCAAAGACCCGTAGCAAGATGTGAAAACCTCCTGCCTGTTGGTTCAAGGGGCAGGAACAGGAGACAGATGCCCACAAGAGCCTGCATTAGTCTTTGAGTGGGTTCCTGCAGTCCTGCCCAGACGAGGAACCGAGGCCCCGCCCCACGACTTCCTGTGCCAGGACCGCCTGGCAGGGGCTGGTTCACTCCACTCACTCACTCTCCAGGTTCTACACCAAGATACCGCCAATGTCCAGCTCTGTTCTTAGGGTCTTAGAGGAGAAGGCAAGAAGACCTAGCCTGGAACCCACACCTCTTCCATCTCCCCGGAGATCAGACCTTCCGCAGCAGAGAGAAGAACGCTGTTCTCGAGAACAATGTAATGGCGTAGGGGTTCATGAAACTCCGTCCTCACGATGGCAGTAGTGCTCCAGATACGCCAAGAAGCGCTGCCTAGCTCCCTCTTCTCCCGCCCCTTGTGTCTGAAAAAACTCCAGCAAACATGGCTGCCTTAAGTTTTGCCCAGTTTGGGGGCAACCTGGTCTTACTACTCAACTTTCGCTTTTGTTTTCCATCTGAAATCAAACTGAGACCTAAAACCACCCACCCTCATCAGGAATATTGTTCTTTCAGAAATTAAATTGACACCTTACCTTGTCTATGGCGTTCTGCTTTCATTATATGCAATCTGTGCAGTTCTGCTCAACATTCTATATCCAGTACTTTCCCATAGTATCAGATTTTCTACCTGAAAGGATAAGTGCGAAGTATCCAAGCTTAAGAGAGAGAATAAAATGCTGGAAGTTCAAGACTTAGAGAAAGGCCTCTCTAGCCACCCTATTTTCCTTTGAGACTCTCAAGATATTCTGCGTTTATTTTCAGTCCTACACTAATACTTGTTTGGGAGTTACAGGAACGAAGCCGGGCCCGCTGCATTTTCTAGAGGCCTAGTACGGAAAAACAGGCAAACTAGGAAAGACGGGAATTTATTGCTGTAACTGGATATAGGAAGAAGGCCGGAGATAATTCCACCAGACCAACTCAAAGTGTTACAATTTTCTTAGTGCTTATATAGGTTGGGGTTATGTGCCTACTGCAGTATAGCATTCGCCTATGTCCATTGGTAACTAATTTTGCTTTAACTAGAATGTCAGAGGCAAAAATAAATAAATAAATAAATAAATAAATAAATAAAAATGCTTGCTAAGTCCAATTAAAAAGGGCCCCAGTACCTTCAAAGTCTGTCTACTGTGGTACTGGAATGATTATTTCTATCTTATCTCCTTTACAGCTTGGTCCGGAGAGCTGCCTTGGACTTTCTAATGAATTCAAACAGTTGCCTCTGTTACCTTGACTCCTCTCAGATTCCATTGACCCGAGATGGGTCCTGGCACTAGGAATGTAAGACTGTCTCCATTATTTTGGCTTGCTCCAGGTAAGGGAGAAGCCGGTGCAAGGTTCCTGCTGACCATGTGTTTCTTTCTTTTCTTTTGTTTTTTTGAGACGAAGTTTCGCTCTTGTTGCCCAGGCTGGAGTGCCATGGCGTGATCCTGGCTCATGGCAACCTTCGCCTCCTGGATTCAAGCGGTTCTCCTGCCTCAGCCTCCTGAGTAGCTGGGATTACAGGCATGTGCCACCATGCCCGGCTAATTTTGTATTTTTAGTAAAGTCAGGGTTTCTCCATGTTGGTCAGGCTGGTCTCAAACTCGCAACCTCAGGTGATCTGCCGACGTTGGCCTCCCAAAGTGCTGGGATTACAGGCGTGAGCCACCGCACCCGGCCTTGACCATATGTTTCATTTCTAGCTTTGATGTCTGGGCACAGATTTCCCTTGGTTTAACTATTTGCTCAATATTAAGGCAGCTCTGTAGAAATTTGTCTGTGTAACTGAGGTGCTATGCAGGCCTGCCTGTGTGACTGTCATGCAGGCCTGTCTGTGTGATTGTCAGGGAGAATTGGCCTGCCACAATACTTTTCTAAGCATAGCAATAGAGGTAGTTAGGGATAATTCGTATATTACAGAAATTGCCTTACAGAGAGTAACACATTTCTATACTCTCCTTCCAAAACAGACACTTAAAAAAAAAAAAAAAGTCATGTATGCTTGCCGTGGATCTCATTTAAGATTGCAACAGAAGCACTTTTCAATACTATTAAACGGCTTTTTACTCTTTACATATTTTAAGCTTTTTAGTTTATTTTCTTAATTTCCTATTTTTAATTTTTTGATACATTATATTTGTATATATTTAAGGGTACATGTGAAATTTTGTTACATGCATACAATATGTAATGATCAATTCATGATATTTAAGTTACCTATCAACAAAGTATTTATCATTTCTATGTATTGGGTACATTTCAAGTCCTTTCTTCCAGCTATTTTAAAACTACAGAAAGTTGTTAATTATAGTCACCCTACTCTTCTATCAAAGTTTAGAACTTATTTTTTCTAACTGTATGTTTCTACTCATTAACCAACTCTCTTCAGCCCCACTGCCCTCCTGCAAATACACCCTTCCCTGCCTCTGGTGTCTGTCATTCCACGCTCCACCTCCATGCCAACAGGTATTTTAGCTCCTACAGATGAATGAGAGCTAGATTTTCCTTTCTGTGTCCGGCTTATTTTACTTAACATAACGATCTTCAGTTCCATCCATGTTGCTGCAAATACATGATTTCATTTTTTTAATGGCTGAAAAGTATTCCATTGTGTATATATAGACTGCATATTCTAGGTTTTCCAGTTCGTTGGTGTATAGTCGTTCGTAATACTCTCTGATGATCTCTTGCATTTCTGTGGTATCAGTGGTAATCTCTCCTTTACCATTTCTGATTTTGTTTATTTGGGTCTGTTCTTTTCTTGGTTAGTCTAGCTGGTGGTTTATCAGTTTCATATACATATGTAAATATACATTCATATATATACATACATATATAAATATACATTCATATATATACACACACATATGTATGTGTGTGTGTGTGTGTGTGTCTGTATATATATCTCTCTCACCTAGGCTGGAGTGCGGTGGTGTGATCTTGGCTCACTGCAACCTCCACCTCCTGGGTTCAAGCGATTATCGTGCCTCAGTCTCCCTAGTAGCTGGGTTTACAGGCGTGCACCGCCATGCCCAGCTAGTTTTTCTGTTTCTAGTAGAGATGGGATTTCACCGTTTTGGCCAGGCTGGTCTCGAACTCCTGACCTCAAGTGATCCACCCGCCTCGGCCTCCCAAAGTGCTGGGATTACAGGAGTGAGCCATCTCACCTGGCAGTTTTGTTCATATTTTTAAAGAACCAACTTTTCATTTTGTTGATCCTTTGTGTTGGTTTTTCATCTCTATTTTGTTTAGTTCTGCTTTGATCTTTATTATTTATTGATCCGTGTTACTATGGGTTTTTTTTTTTAGTAGAAAATACCTTTTATTTATAAATGGATTCAGAAAATAAGGAAATACTCTCAAAAAGAAAAGCACTGATATAAATGGACCATGTCATAATAAGCACTGATTAAATTTAATACTTCTGATTCTCTTGATTTATGCATAAATCAGTCTTTAGATTCTTGTAAAAGACATAAAGAACTGAATTATTCAATCAATAAACACAATTTACATATTAAATAAAGCACCTTACATCTCACAATTAGAGAACGAGATTTTTTGTTTTTTGAGACGGACTTCTGGCTCTGCTCTGTTGCCCAGGCTGGAGTGCTGTGGCCTGATCTTGGCTCACTGCAACCTCCAACCTCCCAGGTTCAAGCGATTCTCCTGCCTCAACCTCCCAAGTAGGTGAGATTACAGGTGCCTGCCACCACGCTGGCTAATTTTGGCATTTTTTAGTAGAGACGGGGTTTTGCCATGTTGGCCAGGCTGGTCTTGAACTCTCGACCTCAAGTGATCCGCCTACCTTGGCCTCCTAAAGTGCTGGGATTATAGGTGTGAGCCACTGCGCCCGGCGAGAATGAGAACTTTTAATAGGTTTATCAGTCATTTGGCACAAAATCATTTAATATATTAAAGTAGTAGAGATTTAGCCATCCATATCATTTGTCTGTTCAATAAATTTGGAAGTAAACAAATGTTACCAAAATCTTATCTAATCTGAAATTAATAAACTAAACATGTTTAAGCTTCTCTTTTACTCAAATAGGAAATAGAAAGGAACTTACATAATATCCAGAGAATAATTAAAGGCAAAATACATCAAGTCAAATCCTATTACGTCTGCAGATACTTTTCTCAGAGGAAAGCCTTTATCCATTAATGACTTTATTAAAACGCTTATTTATTTATTATCATAAGCTCAACTAAGTGTTATATAAAACAGTTTTGAAAATTAAGGTAATAAGACAGAAAAGAGCTAATCTTACGAAATGTTAATAAACAAATAATCCAAACAAGTGAGAAAAATTGAGTCAAACATTTTGAAAGTGAAGTCACTGGAATAGAAAGCCAAAAATCAATAATCAATGAATTTTAAGCAGATTCTTTGAAATTAACAATAAAATATGTCAGCCTTGTCTTAGTCCATTCAGGCTGCTATAGCAAAATACCATAGCTAGGTAATTTATAATATTTTATAAATAATAAAACTTACTGCTCACATTTCTGGTGTCTGGGAAGTCCAAGATCAAGGCCTCAGCACATTCATTGTTGAAGGCTCACTCTCTGCTTCAAAAATGGTACCTTCTAGCTATGTGTTCACATGGCAGGAGAGGTGACAAGCTCTCTCAGGTCTGTTTTATTAGGGAACTAATCCCATTCAGTATGACTGACCCTCCATTATCTAATCAGCTTCCAAAGGCTACATCTCTTAATAATATCACCTTGGGGGTTAGGTTTCAACATATACATTTTTGGGAATACAGACTTTTACAACATATCTTCCCACCCTTGGGCCCCCCAAATTTGTGTCTTTCCCACATGCAAAATATATTCATTCTATCCTGATAGCCCCCAAATTCTTAACCTCTTTCTGCAGCAACTCAAAAGTTTAAAGTCCAAAGTCTCATCTAAATATCATCTACGTTAGATTTGGGTGAGACTCAAGGTATCATTCATTCTGAGCCAAATTCACCTTCTACTCTGAGCCTTTGAAGTTAAACGAGTTTTGTGTTTCCAAAAAACCGTGGTGGGACAGGCATAAGTTAGAAATTCCCATTCCATAAGGGAGAGAGAAGAAAGAAAAAGGGGTAGTATGTTTCAAGCAAGTCCAAAACCCAAGAGTACAAGCAATATTAAACCTTAAACCTGGAGAAGAATCTTCTTTGACTCAGTGTCGTGCCTTTCAGACACACTTGGATGAAGATTGGGCCCCCAATGACTTTTCCGTGCATAGCCCATGCCACAGTGCTCATGTGTTGGAGTCTTGTGTTTGTGGCTCTCCTAGGCTAGAGTTGCACACTGGTGGCTCTACCATTCTGGGGTCTCTGGGATGGCCATGCCCTCATGGTTTTACCAGACTTTGCCTTTATGGTGGTTCCTCCATGGCTTTAATAGGCATTGCCCCAATGGTGGCCCATTTTTTTTTGAGACGGAGTCTCGCTCTTTCGTCCAGGCTGGAGTGCAGTGGCACAATCTCGGCTCACTGCAAGCTCCACCTCCAAGGTTCAGGCCATTCTCCTGCCTCAGCCTCCTCAGTAGCTGGGACTACAGGCGCCCGCCACCACCCCTAGCTAATTTTTTGTATTGTTAGTAGACGGGGCTTCACCGTGTTGGCCAGGATGGTCTCGATCTCCTGAACTCATGATCCGCCCGTCTCGGCCTCCCAAAGTGCTGGGATTACAGGCGTAAGCCACCGCGCCTGGCCTAAGGGTGGCTCTTTATTGTAGTCCTGTCTCTGTGGGACATCTTTGTTCATGCCCTGCAGCTCTCTGGGGTACTCTTAGTAATATAGGTGGAGGTAGCCATGTCCCTACAGCTCATTTGCTCTGTGCTCCTATAGAGATGGCACTGTGTTGATGCTGCCAAGATTTTTACTGCCTGTGCACTTTAGAGTGGTGGCCTGAACCACATCTGGGCCCACTTGAGACACATCTGATGAGAGAGGAAGCTGAAAAATGCTGTGCCAGAATGCAGGGAGTGGAGACTTGAGGTAGTTCAGGGCAGCAAACATTGAGGTTCCTTGGGTGCCCATGGTCCCTCTTTTGACCTCATTTTATGCCCCAGGTTTGGTATTCTGAGCCTGTGATGTGAGTGGCAGACTGGATGGTCTCTAAAATGCCTTTAGGGTCATTCTCTTACTGTCATGCAGAATAGCATCTGGCTTCCTTCTATCCCTACTAATCTTCTCAAATGGTGGTTTGGTCATACCTTTAGTATTCTCCTCTGAATATGCTTTTTCATTAATTCTTTACAACATAGCCACACTGAGAATTTACCAGATCTTTACATTCTGCTTCCCTTTTGATTATAAATTCTTTTAAATTTGTTTCTATCTTCTTGTATTTTACTACAAGCGTTCAAGAGAGGCCATACTACACCCTCAAGACTTTGCTTAGATATTTATTTCACCAACTTTTTGCTCACAAGTTCTA